AACCAGGTCCTCGATTTAAATCATTTAAACCACACTAAAAATCATTGGTTTTTATAAATAACCCAGAATTGAAGAGCTTTTTGTAAAAATTAAGTATGAATCTAACTTTAAATCATTTTGGATAATTTGTAAATTTGTGTCGCTTTAATCATATTTTTATATAAAAGAAAATTTCAGCTAAAACTATCATTTAGGTAAAGTTTTTTACATGTGCATACATATACTATGTACTTATATATATTTATATATATATGTATATATATTTAATATATATTATATAAATATATATATGTATAAATATATATATATATATATATATATATATATATATATATAGGTATATATATATATATATGCATTATATATATATGTATTTAATATATATATATGCATATATATATATATATATGTATATATACATATATATATAAAATATATATAATATATAAATATATATATTACATATATATATATATATATATATATATTAAATATATATTAAATATATATGTATATATTTAACAAAAATGTATGTAAGTAATTAACCATTTCTTAACGTGTTAAATTGTGCCTCAGGGAATCTAATTTAATATAATGACAAATACATTCAAACCTACACGATTAAATACATCTACTTAAACATATAAAAGCTTTCATAACTTAAAAATAAATGTTTTCATTTAAAATATTTTCTTTTAAGAAAAAAAAAAAATAATACACAAAAATTAGTCTTATATACATCCCTTATGTAAAATATAAAATAAAAATTTGCAAAAGTTATCGCTATTTTACCTTAGCAGTTTAATCCTATATAATAATTTTATACGCAAAGTACTTATACCTGCGTATATACCTACATACATACATGTATGTATTTTGCCATGTATATTGTATATAAACCATTGTAATAAAGTAAGTAAATAAAGAATCCATTTTTTTTTTCTGAATCAAATTACATTTTAAAATCACTTTAGAAAATAATTTAAATAAAATTTTTATTATAGGTATGAAGTAATTTAATTTCTTTTCTATTTAAACTGGGACTCTCTATTTTATATAGGTATAGTTACAATATTACTGCAAGCAGCAAATTAAAACAAGCAATAGATTTTAACTATGTATTAGTGTGATTTTATTAGAGTTCATTATAGATTAAAACAAAATCATCAATTAAAATTTTTAATTCAAAATTTAAAATATATATCAAAGTAAGTAACAAATAACTATATGTACATACATATATGGAAACCAGTAAGCAGGAACACAAAAATTATTCTTATTTAACTGAAATCAATAGAAATTTAACTTAATATTTTATTCAAATTACTATTGAAAAACCATCTTAGGGATAAAGTTAAATACCAGCCGGCAACAATTAGCATCTGACAGTCACCAGTCCGATAATCAAGAATTTATTATACTTTTGCATATCAAATTTCGTACATAACTTTTGTGCATGCAACCAATTGAAAACTGCTTTAGCAATAAATTATTTTTTGAATAATTTAAATTTTATATTTTGAAGTTAAATGTTATTTTTTCATTAAATTTTCAAAAATTTCCATTTTGTATTCCAAAAAAGCAATGACAAAAAAGGCTTTTTTGTTATTTCAATTCTTAGTTAGATTTGACATGCAGTATGTTTTTTATTGCAGCACTACAAACTTGTATTATTCGATTTTAAAGTATTGGTTTTGCAGCATTTTCTGAAACTCATGCTGCAAATAAAATCTTAAAAAAGCTTTAGCATATGACCAATTTAAAAAATTTCATTGCAAAAGTATTTTTTAACATTAAAATATCCGACATTGAAAATTTACTAGAGTATAAATTGTTCAAATTTTTAGGTTAATTTCAAAATTTTTTCTTGTTTTTTCATTTATGTCCTGAAATAATGGCGTTTTCAATAAATGTGAAATAAATTCGTGTCCCATTTCTTTTTAATTCTTTATTTGAAATTGATTAATTAGACGAACAGCTGATATTAATTCGCAGACTATACTTGAGCATCTGTAAATTAACAACTTGCAGCGCATCATGCAATATCGAAAAAGCACAAAATTTTAACAAAATGGCAGACAATATTGACATTATTAAACCACTTATTTTCTTTGTCCTGATGAAAGAACTATAAATGGCTCGACAACATTATTCCGGGCTCTATGGGAAAAGTGTATTCAAAGAAAAAAAGTAGCGGTTTGTGTTATAGTTCCTAGACGAAAAGTCCCGCCACGTTTTATTGCATTTTTACCAGCAGAAATGAAAAAATTTTTCAACGGTCATGATTGTTTTCGTATTGTTTACTTACCTTTTGAAAATGAATTTAAGTTATTGAATTTACAAGGTTATTCTCTTGTGGAGGCCCCTAATGATGGAGTTAACATTTATTTTTTTTTGCATTAATAGTTATACTATATATATATGCATGTAGACATCCTGTTGACAACATTAATAGTTATAATGCTTATATAAACTGTAATATCGATTAAGATGCAAAAGAATTCAAAAAGAATTTTACATTAACGATTACCATATTAGTTATTAAAATTAATTCTTTAACTTTAAATCATATTTTACGTTAAAGAAATTATTATTACCAGTTAAAGAATTTTTAAATTACTTATTGTAATATGCAACAACTAAAACCATAAATACTATCACAAAAAATATGTTTAAAATAATTTTATTAATAAATAAAATTATTTTATACATATTACTTTGAATTTATTATTTTTTAATTAAAATTTTAAAATTAACTCTTAAGACTAATTAAATTGCGATATTATTAGATTTTCGAATAACATACTTCTAAATTAATAATAGCACCTACATATAGGCAAATTATTAAAATTTATATTAAAAGTTCATTGTAAAATTTTACCTTTTATTATTAAGAATTTGAATCTAATATCAAATTTATTTTTATAAACTAATAAATTTGATCGAGTTCCTATAAATAAGAAAATGTACTAAAATGTATGCATAACACTTTGTATTTTCATATACATATACATATGTACACATTTTGTATATGTATAATATTATTCCTATACATATGTACATAAATACTTGATATATTTATTAATTTTTACGCATAGTCTGCTTCAATCGTTCGTTATCTTCCAAAAGAAAAAAAAAAGAAAGGATAAAAGTAAAGGAAAAAATAAATAATGTTAAAATTATAATGAAAATCCAAAAAAGAAATAAAAGAAAATTCTTTTTCCAAAAATTTATTTTTCCGGTTTTTTAATATTTTTTTGTTTTATTTTTGTATGTACACGTATTATCTTACTTATAAGAAAGGGCACGCGCGGGGATAAAAAAAAAAAAAGCCATTAAAATCGTACACGTGCCAAAAAATTTTTCGCAATGTTTTTTTCTTCCGTATTTTTATTTTTTATTTTTTATAGCAAAATTTGTAAATATAAGAACTACAAAAATATATTTGTATGCGTTTTTTTTTATTACAAAACAAATAATATTTACGATATACTTATATGTATGTATGTATATCATAAAATACATATTTATGTAAATATATAAGGAGACTAAATCTATGTGTGCATGTTTTTAAGCTAAAAGTCTATACTGTGTTTTACTACTTAATAAAAAAAATTCTCTTATTTAAGTAATCTCATATTCCTGTACGGTTTTCTCTTTCCTTAGTAATTCTGAATCCTTAGATATATATAACCCCCTTAGTATGTATGTACATGGCACAAAACATTGTATATATACTGTGTATATATGTACATAAATCTTTAGAGTTTCGAGATTATGTTTACAACTATGGATATACAACATTTTGGTATACAATAATCTTTATTGGTATAAAAGGATAGTAAAAATGTACGCGTATACAGTTTGAGAATATTAAAAAGAAAAGGACAAAAATGTGGCACGCACAGTAAAAACAAAACAAAAAAATATATAAAAAAAATTTTCTGTCTGTACATTGACCTTTTACGCGCGTTTTCTTGGTATGTTCTCTGTTGTATGTATGCATATGTATATTTCCATATAAATCTATAGATGAAAAAAAAAGGATATTTTTTTGTTTTTATTTTCTTCCATATTATTAGTTAGGAGCATATTTTATATAATATATAGGTATACAAATATACATTCAATGTACAGGTATTTTAATTTTGAAAACACAAAAATTTCCTTTACAATAATTTTAATTCAAGCATATTATGTATATAAAATATGTGCATGTGTGTACATATATTTACAATATTTGAATATTATATTCTGTAAATGTATGTATGTGTTGCGGTATTATGAAGGAAATCAAGGAAAATTCTTTTTAATGCTTTGACAATGTTAATGCGATAAGATGGTGTGGTGTAATATTGTAACATGTGAAATTGATTTTACATTTTTTTTTTTACATTCTAAAATGTAAAGAGGTGCCTACTTACATATATTCAAGTGTATACATAATATACTTTTATTTACAAGTATGTATGTATATTATTTACATACAATTTAGATTTTGTATTAATACAAAATTTACGATAAAAATTTCAAAAAGTAAAGATAAATTAAAGAAAGGGAATTCAAAAAAGCTTTCATAAAAAATATATATGTACATGTACATAATGTATGTATGTATGAATTTAGTTTCTTATTAATATAACTTTAAATTTGGTTAATCAAACCAATGATTTGGAAACTAAATATATTTAACATTTTAAATTTAAAACTCGAAGTTATGATAAATAAATACGAGTACTTATATTAAAAGCTCTAATGTTAAAAAATTAAACCGGTTTTTCTTCTAAATTATCAGTTTAAATTAAAATTTTTTCTCTTTAATTCAGTATCACCGATTTCAAATTTACAAATTAAAATAAATCTTCAATTAACTATTTAATTGAATAATAGTCTTTCAGATATTCTTTAATATACAAATATCTCAAAATTAAAGTAAAATACTTATAAGTTTTCCGAATATTTTAATTTTACAAAAAAAAAAATAAAATTATCAAATTTTATCCTATTATAATTTTATTTAAGAAAAATGTATTAACATCTGCAATTTTAAATCTAAAACAACTTATGAGTAAAAAATTTACTTATTTATATCTCCGTCCATAATTTTAATAAAAAATAAACAAGCCACGTCCTTTGAGTTATTATTTATACGATAACTGGAACCTAAAAGATTTTTCAAAAATTTCATTTTAATGAGCCTAAGAAAACACAATGAATTTACCTTTAGGAACGAAAATAAGACTTCCCGCTGTTGAATGATGAGATTCTCCTTCATTATAAAATTCTAATACTCCAAATAATAACAAAAAATGCTAAAACCCAAAACAAATAAAATAAAACATTTTCAATAATTTTCAAATGATTTAATGATATGTAAATAAATTTACCAAATTATAAGCTCTTGACTTAGCCTTAGGTTTTTTAGAACCAGGTGAAAATTTAATAAAGCCCATATTTCTTGACATAATCTCGTTATAAAATATATAACAGACTCCATCTTTTTCAGAAAACTGCGTTTGATTAATATCAACTAAAAATTGAAAGCAAAATAAAGTTTTTATTATAAGGTATTCATAATAAATTTAGAAAAATAGCATATTTTAAAAAACATTTTAATTAATTTAAAAAATATTTAACATGCAAAATTTACCCATTCTAAAAGTGTCTTCAGCAAAAAATCTTTCAAATCCAGGATTCTGTGAATTTTTATTGTTATTCAATTCCAAATTGTTTTGTTCATTATTAACAGAAACTAATCGTTTTATCCAATGAAAAAAATCTTCAGTCTGTAATTAAGTATTCAAATAAATAAAATAATACTTATAGAATATAATTCTTATCAAGAAATGATAAGATTACAATGCAAATACACTTACAGGGCCGTAGTTCGATGCCATATCAGACGGCTTACTTAAATTATCACTAACTGTTTTTGTTGAATAATTATCTGAATTTGAGCCAGTGTCACTCCTTTTTGAGCCTGTCTCACAATTGTGTACGTTAATATCAATTGATTTATCCGGCGTCACTTCTGAAATAATTTCTTTTTCACCTGACACTTCTTCATTTGATTTTATTTCATTTGGATTTTCTAGTTTTTTTTTGGATTTTGTTGATTTTCTTTTTTGTTCACGTACATTTTTTACCCTTGTCTTTGAAACTTTAGAACGTATGGTGGTTTCAAAATTAGTAAAGCTCTCTTTCAATGTATCAACAATTTTCAACATCTCTTCCTTAGATTGACTTTGACTATCCGTTTCAATCAAATCTGCGCCACTGGGTTGAATTCGATTTTTATTTCCATTTACTTCTTTAACTTTATTTGATTGCGCATTTTGTTTTTCAGAAAAATGAGTTAAATTCTGTAATTCCACCCCCCTTACATACTCAGGAGAAGCAGGATTTTCATCTGCACTTTCCAAATTGTTTTGGTTAATTTTTAAATTTTTCTGCACACTTTTAGATTTTTTAACACTCTTCGCTTGAATATTCTTCTTTTTTTTGCTTGCTTCAGATTTCTGAAAACTATTTTTATTCTCATCGACGTTAATTTCTTCATTTTTCCTCATTTTTGTTTTTTCAGACCGATTTTTTTGTGATTTTTTATCAGCTTTATAGATATCTTTTAAAATTTTATTATATTCGGTTAAGGACCGTACGTTTTCATATTTATTTGCCCAATAAGTATAAACTCTACGCGGAACTGCCTTTCGGCTTGATCTGCGGACCTCAGATGAAATCGTGTCATTTATGTTTAAGTTTACTACTTCTTTATACCTCTTAGGCAAACTTTGTAATAGTTTGTCAACTTCTTGCGTACCCTTTTCTTTTTTAGTTGATAGTTTTTTCGGGCTTGTTGACATTTCTATTTCATTTTCTAGATCATTATTTTCAATCGCTTTTTTGTTTGAATCCCTTTTATTCCATTTCGAACTTTGCTTAGATTTGGGAGCCGGTAAAAGTGGCTTTTTAAATACAAAATCCTCTTCTGAATTTTCTGACGATGAAACTATATTATTAAAAATAATTTTATTGCTATTAGACTCATTTTTCTTTTTAGCATATTTTTGTTTAACGTTATTAAAACTGGATTCCTTATCACAGTTCAAATTCTTGGGCTCGTTGTTCAGAGGTTCCATGTTCAAATCTTCGCTCTCTGACAACTCTTTGTCGTATAATTTTCGCCGACTAACATCTGTTGCTTGATTTAAAGATATATTGTGACTTGCTGTACTGAGGCTAGAAGTTAAATTTAAATAAGTAGTTTTAAGTGGATCCATGTTTTGTTTTGTTCTCTTATTTTTTGAAGTATTTTTTAATTTGCCTGATTTTGATGCATTTTCTTTTTTTTTAATCGATTTTTTCCAAAGTTTTTGGACAACTTCAGGCTGATCACAAATATAATTTGATTCTGCACTACTCTGATGCTCATCATCAATAAAATTTTTAGATCGATTTGAAGAGGTACAAACTACATCACCCGGATCTGAAATTTTTAAATATATGTGAAACTATAAAAATTTTTTAAAAACAAATTGTATGTAAATAAAATTACCGTTCTGTGTCCGTGGAAATGATTTTTGTGTAAAAGAAGTGTTTAATAAGGATAAATCCTTTTGCTTGTCTTCTAAATTATGTTTTAAATAATCAGAAACATAGTCAAAAGTATTCTGCATTGGCGGTATGTCAATAACTACTTCACGTGGTTTTTCACCTTCTCCTGTTTGAAACCTATTTTTGTGATTTATTTGACTGTATCCAGGTTGAGATTGAACTTCCGAAAATTCATTTTGATTTTGAAAATTTTGGGTGAGAGGAACCGATGAAGAACGCTTTCTGTATCCATTTTTTTCATTTGCAAGTTGAAATTTATAGCACCTTGATAACCTGTCACGATTTCTCTTATTACTACTTGCGAGTTCCTCAGCAAAACCATTTTCAGGACCCATTATTTCGAGAGTGAAATCATCTCCTTGTTGCAGCAAGAATGAAGGCGGGGCAGGAAAAGTTGAATTTTTTAAAATATGCTGTTCCGCATCAATGTCCAAAGTTGAATCAGTTCCATTTTGAAGCAAAAACGAAGGTGGGGCAGGAAAAGATAAATTTTTTAAACTTTGTTGATTTTCATCACGTAAAATTAAACAGTCAGAATAATGTGTTTTATATTTTTCTGTCGTATTGACTTCATTATTAATTGCTGATAGAGAACATTTTTCTGTCAGTTTAGAAGCCGATTTTTGTTTTTTATTTATATTTTTGCTTTTAGCTTCATTAATTATGTCTGTAAATGATTGATACCCAGAGGTTTCTGAAAAAATGTTTGCCAATAGTACAACAGGTTTTCTTTTGCCATTACGAAAATAATTTTCGTCAGACGAATTTCTTTTCACTGAAAGATATTTGTTTTGCTCTTTTATTTTAAAACTAGCTAACAGGGATGATTTTCGAGATTTCCTTTTCCTTAAGTCCACGGGTTGAACAGAAAAGTTATCGGGAATACAAATTTTGCTTTTGTTCTTTGACGATAAATCGTGGGTAGTACAATTTTTCGATATGGATAGTTCCTTGTTAAAAATCAGGCTATTTGTATCACCTTCAGTTGTAATACAATTCCTAAAAGAAAAATTAAATTACCATATTATATTTATTTTATATTTAAAAAAATCTTTATATCAAAGTAAAATAGGTACCGTTGATGAGTATTCGTTTTTCTTTTCCTTCCATCAATATTTTCTTTATTTATAATATATTCTTTATTTGTTTTTGTTTCTGATTCTTTTATGTTAGAGTGAAAATCGTCGTTATAATATTCATCATCACTGGTTAATATACCATCAATGTCATCAATTTTACTTTGACCCTTTTCACGAACTTGTTTTATACCCGAAGGAATATGCATTTTCTTTATATTGATTCGCAATTTTTTAGGTTTGTATGAATCAGAAAATTCAGGAGGTGGACGAGGTAAATTTTCTTCTTCATCTCTTACTGAATTCATATTAGATTTATTTGTTTCGTTGTTTCTATTGTTATGGTTATCAATCATAACGAAAACTGGAGACATCGGGATAGATTTTTGCAATTGTTCAATTATTAAATTCATACGTGATGTATTCGTATTATCAGCTTTATGTTTTTCAGAATTGTTATAGTTAGATGGATTTTTATCTGACAAATTTTCAACGGAAGATATTTTTGACAAATACAACTCTTTCGAATTATTAAATTTATGCTTTGGAGTTGGGCATTTTAAAGAAGCCAAAATACCATTACGTTTCATTTGCGGTATTCGCGACACTCGATTTATAGTACTTCTAGGAATTTCTTTTTGATTTAAATTGTGTTTTTCAGACATAACTTTATTTAATTCTTCTCCGCTTTGATTTCTGGTTGAAAACCCGTCAAATTCTATTGTTTTACCTAAAACAGTTTCTCTATTACAATTTGTTGATAAATTACAATTTTCCGAAAGGACCTCCCTTGATAATTCATTATTGTTAGAATTTTGAAGAACATTTGACTCAACAGTAAAAGTTCTTCGTTTTGAAGGTATTTTTGATTCGCTATCAACAATTTTTCCCATCCTTTTAGGTGAAATATCTGTATTTCCTTTTTTGTCCTGAACTTTCGGTGTGATACTATTGACACAATTAGTTTCTTGAAATTTATTTTGCATATCTGATATTTCTTGTTGGCATTTCATTAAAGCTTCAGCTAATTCATCAATTTTCCTTTGAGATTTAGACTGATTGGAAAAGCTTATTTCCATAGACTTTTCGGTATAACAGCTCTTACCGAAAGCAGAATTGCTTTTCGATTTTGAATTGTTTTTTATATTTTCTTCTTCATCTATAATTTCATTATTTCTTTCCTGTGTTTCCGGAATCACTATCGTAATTTCTTTATTACAATTCTGATCTAAATGATCATCAATCAATTGATCTTGTGTATTTGGAATTACAGTAAAATCTGCATTGAAAATTTTATCGTTACTTTTATTGTTTGCTTTTTCTCTGTTCCCTACTTTTTCCTTCAAGTTGAGATTTTCTTTATCTTTTTTTACTTTAACTTCAATACTAGCTGTTTCTGTGATTGGAGATAAGCCATCAAAATCTGAATTAATGGTGCAATCATTATTTTTTGGATCATTATGTTTGCAAATAGGAGTGCTGTTGCATTTTGGGTTCTATTAATAAAACGGAATTTTTTATTAGTATACATAACATTATACAAAATTTACTAAAATTATCTTCAATGTTTAAATATAAGAAAATAAAGACTTTATTTTTTAAATTTAATCCTTAAAATATGTTGAACTTAATTTACTTACAAATTGATTTTTTTGCGTAGCCGTTTTTTCAAACTCTTTAAGTAAGACACGTCTGCCCAAATTTTTACATTTTCTAAAACTACTGCGCAGTTGACGCTTTGAGGGAGATATAATTTTCTTTGACTTAATGTTCGATTCAACTTTTTGTGATGTTTCAGAACTTTCGGAATTACCAATAGTCCCATTAATTTTAATTTTTGGATCTTCATCATCGATTTTTGCTTGCGAAATATCCTGCGCTGCCTTCTTTTTTATGTTATTAACACTGTTATCCGATATATTATCGTCACAACTTACTACTTGAATATCGAAATTAGGTTTCTGCACTTCCTGAGAAAGTAGTTCTAATAAATTTTTTTGTTTATTGCTACAATTTTTTTTGTCTCGAATATATTTCCACAACTTTTCATTATCACTTAATGTGTCATCTCCAATCAATGTACTTTGCGAAGCAGAAAAGTTTAAACTTTGCGACTTTTCAGACACACTAGAAATATATTAATTATTTAATATGTACATATGTACTACAACAAAGCAAACTGATATGTAAATTAAGTATTTATTACAAAAATTATTCACATATGAATAAAATTAAGTAAATTGTTAAAGCGTCATTGATTTTATGAAAAAACGAAAAAGAATTTAAAAAACTTACTTAGACTTTGTCAGTTTTTCCCCCATTTCTTTTCAAAGGTACATAAATGTTACTAAAAAAAAAATACCACTTAAAATAAATATGAACAAAATTAAGCAAATTAGTACAATAAACAAAATTACTTTTTTTTGACAAAAAAAAAAAAAATAATAAAATTAAACACAAATAAATGACTGTTGGCGATTTTAATCAAAATTAAAAATTAAATGTTTAAAATAAATCCACCAGATGGAGTAAATTGTTAGCGTCACTTTGGCAATAGTCCTGCCGTGCTGAAAAAAATTTAGCGCCATGGACATATTAGCACGGTGCTAATATGATCCTTAATAAAACGTCTTTCGCAATAATAGTTGACATAAATCTCATGCGACTTGAAAAAAAGCTCAATGATAAGGGAAGAACGAAATATATGTTGACCAGCAAAGATTGTAGGCAAGTAGACGACAATTAATTTTTTGTGAGAATTTTAAATTCCGACTTCTTTCACATAGTTTCAATCCAATACATATGTAAATAAAGTTAAAGCTAATGCTAGGGTCGCGATTTAATTTATATTTTGAATTAGGTATAATAAATATTTCACTAACATAATTTTATTATGAATTGTATTTTATATTTTATTTTTAAATTTTATTTAGTTTTTTACAATCTATTAATTATTACAGTGGAATATGTATGTTAAAAGAAATGTTTATATGAAATAAAGAAAAAAAAAATAGTTATCAGACTTCGCTTTAAATGTTAACTTAGGTTTAGAAGCTTAAGTCTGATTCTAACGCCAAAAAGTGCTTACACATACGCCTTGGAAATAGTGCCTTACATGGAAATCTAAATATTGAAGTTCAAGTTTAAATAATTAATTTGATATTAGCTGATATTTATTTGATACTTTCTTAATAATTCTTCTTCATAATTAAATGAAGTATCGACTGTCGTGAAAGGGCGAAAAAATAAGAAATTAACTTTGCGTAGTAATGTCTGCTCGCTTAAAAAAAAACACATTTAGTTTATCCAATGAGTAAAAACAAAGCCGACAGAAGGCAGAAATAAGAATTAACGTCACCAAACTGTCAACAAAACTATGTAAAAAGCTGAAAATAGACTATTACATATGTACAGCTGAAAATAGAAATTTACAAAGTATGCTGAATAGCTTTGACTTCCTAAAATGTAAATATTTGTTTCGTTAGACAATTTCTCAAAATTTGAAGAAAAATATTCGAGGAGTGATATTTTAAATACACTCCTCGAATATCATTTTTTAAATAAAATTTTCGGTGTCAAAAACCAAAAAAAAGTGTAATAAATAAAAAAATTTACGTAAGTGAAAAAAGTTCTGTTTTGTTCACACTTTTATGTTAAAAAGTGTGGCCGTATTATATAAGGAACAAAATTGTTTGTTAAACTTCAATGAAATTTATAATATTTCTTCAATGATTTCTTTGCATTTTGAACGTTTCATTCTCTTTTTACTTTCATTTAAAATGATTTTGTTTGTGTAATCTGTAATATAATAAACTATATTACAACTAACTTTACTAAATTGCTATTTTAAATAATATTATGAAATCTTTGATACAATCTTTTTACCTTCTTATTTTAGTATAGACAATTATTTTTTTTTAAATAATACATATAATTAAAATTAAATATTTTAAATCGAAGTTTTTTTTTCAATTTCCCTTCACTTTTTTCCACCTATTTTAATATTTTTGAGAAGGTAATACGAAACACAACATTTTTACTTGTCAAAGACACTCTGACACTTTTTTTATGTTCGCTTCGTTTTTTTTGCTATAATTATGTAAAACATTAGTTTTATCATTCAATATATATTCTCGATGACGTCATATTCCATAAAATTGGCTGCTGGCATAAATTATCCACAGATTTGGTAAATTGTTAGACTATAATGTGTGAATACAATATGTTGACGTATTTATATTTACATATATGATTGATTATAAGAAAAGCAAGTTATTCGAATAAATTGTTTAAATTGTAAGATATATTTGATTTGGATTTGGAAATTTTTTTAAAATATGGCTGATCGATTAACTCAACTTCAGGACACTGTTAATCAAGTAAAAATTTTAAGTCAATTAAAATAGCATTTAATTTTAGTATTTAATTTTAGCAAGCTGAACATTTTTGCAATGCAATAGGAGTCTTACAACAAACGTCAGTTCCAAGTAAATTTCCAGGATTTGATAGAACAGGGTCACAAACGCCTCAGCAAACACAGCAAGAGGATTATGCACAACTATTTTCCCAGCTAATATCGCGTTGTGCTAAAGACATCGACACATTAATTGAATCACTTCCTAACGAAGAATGTTCAATAGAACTGCAAAACCAGGCTTTAAAGCGCTTAGAAACTGAAAATCAAATTGAGGCAGAGCGATTGGAGCAAATTGTGCAAAACGGTGAACTTTTGCTGGAAAAAATACAATCTGCTTTGGAAGATATAGCTCAAGCTCAACTAGATATGCAAATACATTTCAAAACTTGATTTTGTATTATGTAAACAAAATTAAAAATACAATTTAGTTAATTTCAACTATTTATTGACTCACAAAATTTAACAAATTATAGACGTTTTACTTAATTTTAGAAAATAAATTGTGGTGAGCCACACAATGATCTAATTCATGTATGTAATCGAAAAGTTCTTCAACGCAAGTTTCTGTGGTTTTAGAACGACTATTTACTCTATCGTTACATTCCTGATATTTGGCATACAATGCTTCAATTTTACCCTCAGCATTACATTTTTCCTAAAATTAAAAAATTTAGTGAAGTATTTTGAGGTTATGTGAATATTTAGTATGTACTCTTAGTGCAGTTTGAGGGTCAACCAATTCCTCTTCCTCGGCTTCCTGAGTTTTTACGGAATATATTGGAATAAAAGAAGAAAAAGTCTTGAACAAATCGGGAAGAAACGAAAACATTGATTCTTTAGTTGGGGCCATAATTATCTGTAAAATAAATAAAAAAATACAGGTAGAAAAAAGCATCCAAAAAATTTAATTAAATTAAATACCTTTTATAATTTTTATCAAATTTGAGATCTATTTTTTCAAAAAAAAAATAAAAGAAAATTGCCTGTGTGATATAACAACTAACAGAATTAGATAAAATTTCTTGAAGACGTAAATGTCATTACTGTCACCCTTAAATTTATGAATGGGAATATAAAGTAGATACATATGTTCAGTATGTCATGCTTCAAAATTATTTTTCGTTGTTCAATAATTCGAAAAGCTAATTTATGTTAATATCATTATATTATACAAACAGCATTACAAAATTGCATTCGAAACAACATGTTTATAAAGATCCACACATATGCAGATATTGTATTCATAATATACATACTTATATTTATTTTATAAACATAAACATATTATTGAAACCATTTACACATTATTAGAAAATTATATTACTACTAGGCCTAAATTATTGGAACTTTCTACTAAAATAATCCTTTCATAACCATAATTTTGCCACAAAATCCAGGAAGTACCTTAAAGCGATTATTTTAAAAAAAACTTTAAATTTACTGTCAAATTGTAAGATTGAATTCGATTGGAAAAGTATTAGATACTGTTTATATATATGGCAAAATTTATCATTAAATTTACGCTAAAGTCTGATGACTGTTTATATAAAAGATTGAAATTGTCTTAGAACTTTAGGTCAAAATTAAATAATTTGCTACGAAAATTATAACCAAAATAAAAATCAGCTGATCGCTGCTCAAAATTTTCACAAAAAGTAATGACAATTAGTCAGCATTTACATGTCACTGAAATATTTCAGCTTTTGATTGACGAAAAAATTGAAATTGGCTCTATTTTCGTCAATCATTTTTGACAGCAATAAGAGTTTATTGAATAAAATGGGCAGTGGCCTGGGCTTTTTTTTATTGCGATTAGTCATATGATAGTGGAGTGGCAGTTTTTAAAGTTTTTAAATTTAAAGCATCTATTGAAAGATTGACAATTATTGATTGCAATGTAAACGTAAATTTTCATCAAACTTCATCAATCTTAATCAAGAATGTCAATCTTGAAACACAGTCTTACAGTCAGATTAGTGAATTAGTGAAAATATAAATGAAAAAATTCAATAATTTTTGAATTACATACTTATATATTTTAAATTTCGAAAAAAAGCAGTAGAAAAAAGATTGTAAATCATTTTTCTGCTATTGATAAATGAAATATATCCATGTACTGTAAAATATTGTCATTACACCACCTGTAGCCATTGAAACTTAAACAAAAATCTTACAAATCTACATCAACAAAATTAAACTAAAAAAAATTTGTGCATCTTTGAATATATGTACATTCTATTAGTACATTACGCTTTCGAATTACAAAGCCGTACAAACGATGAACAGTGAACACACCAACTTGACAGTTTTGAAAGCTAAAATTCTACACAGTCAAGTCGGCTAAAAAAAATGAGAGAGAAATGCCAACTGCCAAGAAGACGAAACTATTATTAGTGAGAGAGCAGAGAAATTGACAAGAAATTGAACGACCAAGCCAAAGCACTTAAATTCGATAAAATTAAAAAAAAAATAGAAAATAATACTTTAAAATTTGTAATTTTGCATTTCAAAAAGATTTCAATAAGCTTTTAAGTTATTTGTGCGTAAAAATTTCATGTAATATTGCATTTCTGAATATTCATTTCATGCTAATTATGAATTTATAAAACTTCTATGGATGATATGGTGAAAACATAAAAATTTTCAAAATTGCTATTTTCTTTGGCATTAAGTTCAAAAACTTATCGGGTAAGTACTTCTTAAAATAATTTTAATGAGTAAATTAACAGTTTGATCTTGTATTTTCATTTTTTACTGAAAAATGAATGAAGTAAAACATTAAAGAAATAGTGGCCAACACTATCAGGAAATGTCAGATTGCCTCCAGAACGGAAAAATTTTTATTTTGGGGGTTATGTGCATAAAAAACTAAAATTTAATAATTTTACAGAATGAACGGATCAGTTATGGAAAGCAGAGGACCGTCTGCCGCAATACCTCCTGCATCAGCTGGTCATTCTCAAGCGCAACATAAACAGCCTCGCAATTTTAAAATGCTCTCGGACCCACATTTGAGTAAAGGGGCTCCAAAAGTATACAGGTTTGATGGTATTGTTCCAAATGACCCAACATATCCGCCAATTATTGCTCGTGATCCAAGAAATCAATTGGCAAGATATAAACAGCGAATAGAGCCTCTAACATTGTCTGTACCAAGGTTCGAAAAAATCAAATTAATTATTTTTTAATGTAAACAAATATTTATAAATTTTTTGTTTTAGGTTTAAAATTGATTCTAATTATATTGGGGAACCACCAGCAATAGAAATTACTATAACAAATATTAATGATAACATAGACAAACAATTTTTGTCTGGATTACTAGAAAAATGCGGAAGTTATGATGAAATGCAAATATTTTATCATCCCATGAATAATAAGCATTTGGGTTTGGCAAAGGTGGTGTTTGAAAACATAAAAGCAGCCAAGTTATGTATTGAAAAATATAATCAAAAATCAGTAATGGGAAAGGTAAATTTAAAGATAAATATAAAATTTAATTTTTAATTTGTTGTTCATTTAGGTTTTAAATGTTTTTCATGATCCATTTGGCGAATACTGTAAAAAATTATTTGAGAATTTTACGAGTAAAGAAAAACGTGTGCCTATTCCAATGGCACCTGTAAAACTTCCCACAAATTCTGCGCCTCAGGTGTCGATATCATCTCATTTATCTAACCAGCAAACAATGCAACCGCATCTTCCAATTAATTTTGAATATCAAACAGAATACTCACAAAATAATTATGAACATTCGGCATCATCCTCTAACTATAGTAACTATCATCACCGATCCTCTGAAGATCGTTACTCGAGTGCATCATATGTCCGGGACCGGTATTCTTCAAATGCAAATATTAACGAAGAACCGCATAATAGGTCTAGAGATAGAGAACGTGTTCATCACCGTGATAGAGACAGAGAAAAGGATAGAGATCGTGATAGATCAAACAGATCAGATAACAAATATGACAAAAAAGATAACAGACGTTACGAAAAAGATAGAAAACACCATCATTATCATCATAAAAGTGATCGGGATCGGGAAAGAAGACGTGATCGAAGTAGGAGTCGAAGTCGAAGTAGAGAAAAGGTGAAGGATCGATCAAAAGATCGGGATTATGAGCGAAGTGAAAGAGACAAACATCGTAGAAATACAAGGTACACAAGAAATGAGCGAGAATTTTCAGCTTCATCATCTTCAACAGCTGCTTTAGCAAATTCTGTACCTACTGCCCATCCTACATCTTCAATGCCGTCAAGTTCAAATCACAATTATCCGATGCATCAAATTCATAGTGGTTTTCACCACGTTCCATCAAACCCCATTCCTTCAATGCCCCAATCCCAATACGTATATCCTCCAAATGTTTATGCAAGTCAAACTTCGTCGGTTTATGGTCAACATATGCCGCAACCTCAACAATGGCCCGCTACAGGAAGTTCCTGGAACAATCATCACCATTTTCATAATTCTCATTCTTACCCGCCCCCTCAACCACATCACCAGTATCCTCAACAAAGTGCTCAACACAATTATCACGCGTATGGAAATCATCGTGTGGAACCACCTGGTAAATATAGCTCTATTATAATGATACATAAATATTATTTAATGAAATATTCAAGGTAATCCTCCTTCAGTACAACAGCCTCCTCCGCCTCCGAAAGCAAATTCAGATTCTGAAAATTGGGATTCTCCTACAAATTCACCCGAAAAAGCGCAAAAACCTATTTTTCCGTCAAAGAACGGTGGTATTTCAGGTAAAATCAAAGTAAAGAATGGAAATGAAACTCCAGACTGGGATGAAGAGAGTGATCACGAATCTTCAAGAGAAAATTCATTAAAAAGTAAACAAACAATTATTCAATCAACTCCATCTCCCAAGATTATTTCATCAATAAAAAGAGGAGACGAAACGCCTGACTGGGATGATGAAGTTGACGAAATTTGCGACTCAAATCGGAGGGATGAAAAAAGCGTTAAACCCCATAAAAATGATTACGTTAAAACGTCAAAAATGGACGAAACCACACCTGAATGGACAATAAAAGAAGAAAATAAAGCATCTCCTCTTTCAAATAAAAATATATCTTTAGCCGAAATTACATTCAAAACATGGGATTGTTCATCTAAGAAAGTAGAGAACGATAGTTCGGATTGGGATGAGGAAATTGATATTAAACCAAGGTTGGAAATAAAACAAGAAAACATAGAACAGCCAAATATAAAAAATGAAATCAAGGCAAATTTTTGCAAAGTGGAGCCGTCTAAAGATTCTACACCACTTTCATCTCCAAAAAATTTGGAACTGGAAGATGAACACTCGAACGTTGATTTAGATACTCGAATAGCTATGATGTTCAAAGAGAAATCATTTGGTACGGCTCCGCCATTTCTGCAATTAGATGATGATGAAGAAAATGAAGAGGGTGAAATAGATGATTCAAAAGCCAAATCAAAACGTAAAAAAGAAATCAAATGTATAGAAAAATCCTCGCAAGATGGAGCAAGTGATATATCGTCGACAGACGATGAAATTTTAGCGAAGGGCACCTCTAGTCCCTTGAATAAACCATGTAAAAAGGGTTTAAGGGAACGGGAAGATGATCACATGTCCTTATCTAGTCTTTCGTCACATGACGGAAAATTAGGAGGGATTCCTATACCACCACAACCTCCTGAAGAGCAACCTCCGTTACCACCGAACACTCCGCCACCGCTACCAACAGATTTGCCTCCAATGCCACCTACAGTACCGTTTAATCAACCACCACCACCAGGATATCAGGTTGATTCCCAGTCAACTTATTATTATCCACCATATAATGCTTATCAATCTGGAAATTATTTTCCAAATTCTGGTGCACAACATACAACTGGCTATATTCATCCATATTTCCCAAGTTTCCCTGGGAATGCGGCAATGTTATCTAGTGGAAACCCAAATCACTACATTGCAACTACTCATTCATCTGGTTACCCAAATAATTATTACGCAAATTCATCTCATTATCCTAGGTTTAGTAATTTAAATAATTATCAACGTCCACCTTTTGATTACAATTACTATCATTATAATGGAATGGCACAAAAACTTGATGGACAAATTAGTAACTCAGAGACACCTAAGCATAATCCTCATGAAAAATCTATAGCAAAAATTGTTGAACGGGTAACCAATGAATTAAAGCAAATCCTTAAACGTGATTTTAATAAAAAAATGATTGAAAATACGGCTTTTAAAAAATATGAAAGTTGGTGGGATGAGCAGGAACGTAATAAAAACAAAACTGTTAATTCCGTTTCAATTGGCGGTCCAGATAATTTATTAAACAGCATGAAAGTTGACAGTGGACCTGATATTAATCAATTAATCAATAGCAGTCGTGATAACATTGATTTTAGCAACTATACGAATTTAGGTCTTAGAGCATCCATTCCAAAATTACCATCTTTTAGACGAATTAGAAAGCAACCAAGTCCAACTCCAAAGAAACGTAGAAAATCATCTTCAGCTTCAATATCTAGTGCGGTTACACAAGGCCCAAGCATTGATGTGGACACAAAATTAAGAGAGGAAGAAGAGTGTAGGAGACGATCTAGCGATCAAGAGGATATGGTTGAAACGTCTGATTCCGAAAAAGAAAATGATGACAGTGGTGATAATAAAACTAAACTTGATTTCAAGGATGATAACAATTTAAATACTATTGATAGAGAAAATATTGAACGCAAACGTAAGGGTAAGATCTTTAATTTTTAGTTATAAATTCAAAAAATTTAATTTTATAATTTTGAAATTTTAACTTAAATTTTTTTTGCAGGAAGCCTTTCCAGTTTCTTTACTACGTCGAGTGAAGATGAGGATACAAGTGATGATGAGGATGAAGATGAAGAATCGTCAGTATCTGACGATTCAGATGAGAGTTCTTTATCTGAAGCTGATCCTGAGATAAAACAGTTTACTAATTCAACTATACAAAATCGTAGAACTAAAGAGCTCGTGTCAGACAAAATTTATTCTGACTCAGAAGATGATTATGAAATAATTAAAGAATTTTCATCTATAAAATCTACACCAAATTTAAAAAATAAAACAAAGGCGAAAATATACTCTGATACAGATTCGGATCATGATATATCTAATTCAAATAAAGCTAGTCGCAGTAAACAAAATAACCAATCTAATGAATTTGCTAACCGTAAACTATTACGATCTCCAGAATTTGATGAAATCAGTAAAGATAGTATATTAAGTAATGTTTCGCAGGAACCTCCACCAACGCCTGGAAAAGATGAAGGAAAAATTTCAGTCAAATTGGAAGAAAGTAATGTCAAAGAAAGTAAAGCGGAAACAGCTGATGAAAAAATGAACTCTACGAAATCTGTAAAGAAATCAATTTTCGAATATGATCGTATTTATAGTGATTCTGAAGAAGAAAGAGAATATCAAGAGAAAAGAAGACGCAATACCGAGTACATGGAACAAATTGAAAGAGAATTCCTAGAAGAACAAGAAAGAAAACGCAAAGAAATAGAAGAACAACAGGCAAATGCTGCAGCGGAAGAAGCAAAATCTGAGGCTTTAGCTAAAGAAAGAGAACAGTTACTACTCAAATTGAAAGCGCGATATTCTAAAAATGAAAATGTAGATGAAGAATCAAATAAAGAGAAGGAAATTTTGAGTTCAAAAGAAGAAAGTCCCATACAAGATGCGGAGAAAATTGTCGAAAATGTTGTGGAAAATAATAAAGAAGTCGCAAGTAAGAACTTTAAAGAAACAATTTCTTCAACACCTCCCAGCGAAAAATTGTCGCCAGTTCATACTACTCCAGTTCCTCTTACTATATTAAAAAGTAATCAATCTAGCCTTGACATTCCACTTACTCCAGATATATCTAAAATTCCTCCAACTCCTGGCGGAAATCTTATATTTTCGACTCCTTCCTCAACAAGTTCTACAAATTCATCGGAAAATTTACCATTCACTTCTGAAAATACAAAGGATAGATCAGAATCATCTAGCAAAATGGTTACTTCAGTTCCCGTGGATAATTTGACAAATGTTCCAGTGGTGTCTATTAAGTCTGAACAAGAATTTTCATTAATCGAAGATCCTCGATTATCGCCAGCATCTTCGGATGGTGGTTCAAGTCAAGCTAGTCAAGTGGCAATTGAACATTGCTATTCATTACCTCCATCAGCTTCGGACAATAAAGATTCCTCTGCACAAAATAGTGAAGTGTCAGGTAGAAAATTATCAGCCGATATTTTAGCTCACGATCATGGTTATACTTCATCCCCTGTACCTGTTATGGTTAAGGATGAACAAGTATTTAATTCTTCCGAATTAATGAAAGATACAGCGTTTGTTGACGCACAGCAACATCTACAAGTAAATGAATCAACACCCAGTACGCAAAATGTGGTTCCTATTAGGGCCGGACCTGGACGACCACGTAAAGATCCAACCAAACCTATGATACCAAATCAAGCAAATAAGAAAAAAGATGAAACGAAAAAAGCGAAAAAGAAACGAGAGCTTGAAATGTTACTGGAAGCTGAAATTAAAAGCAGAGAAATTACATCTTTTATTCCACAAGAAATGTTTAAACCTCGTGATATGAATGAAGAAATGATGGCGTTATATGAGTTCTTAACGAAAGGCATTGACGGTGAAGATATTGAATATTTAAAAAAGAGTTACGAATGCTTATTACAAGATGATGCTAACAGGTACTACTCTCTTATATTTAAATTGAATAAAATTTAAAGAAATTTTTTTTTTTCTTTGTAGTTTTTGGTTGAACGCCACCCATTGGGTTGACCACTGTATTACTGATAGGACATATCTGCCTCCGCCAAGTAAGAAACGAAAAAAGGAAGAAGAAACATATAAGCATATAACAGGATGTGCAAGAACTGAAGGATATTATAAATTAGATATAAAAGAAAAATCTAAACATAAATACCATCATGCTAAAAGTCATGCAATAGGAGATGGAAATCTCAATTCTGAGCATGAACAGCAAATAAGTAAGGTCGTAACAAAAATGCAGGGTCTTTCTAGAGAAGCACGCTCTAATCAAAGAAGATTACTTACAGCTTTTGGCTCAATTGGTGAATCAGAATTACTGAAATTTAACCAATTGAAATTCCGGAAAAAGCAATTAAAATTTGCAAAGTCAGCTATCCATGATTGGGGTCTTTTTGCAATGGAACCAATAGCAGCTGACGAAATGGTTATAGAATATGTTGGTCAAATGATTCGTCCAGTTGTAGCGGATTTAAGAGAACAAAAGTATGAAGCTATCGGAATTGGTAGTTCTTATTTATTTAGAATAGATATGGAAACAATTATAGACGCAACCAAATGTGGTAATTTAGCTCGATTTATAAACCACAGTTGTAATGTAAGTATATTTATTTAACCCGGATTAATATTTCTAAATTATAGCACAAAAAAAAAATGTTTTAAATACCATAAATATTTTAAACCTTTATAATTCATATTCCTTACGATATTTGAAAATAACCTGGTAAAGAATCAAAAAAAATTCTCTTTTTAACTGACCTGAGATAAAAAAAAACTGACCTATTTACACTTATTAAATATATTCTTTAATTAATAAGTTGATCAATAATTAAAACTATATTTTATCATAATGTAATATGTATATTTAAAATCATACTATATTCGCGATCATGATTTTTATTTTACGCTATTTAAACAATAAATGATTATATGATTTGCAATATTGGCAATACTTTTTATTTTACAGTTTTTATAATATGTTTGTAAAACGTACAATCCCATATAAATTTAACAAATTCTATTAAATATAAATCGATATTTAAGATAAACATAAATATTATAAAACAATTAGTTAAGCATTATTTTATTTAATTTTGTTTTTCATTTTTAGCCAAATTGTTATGCAAAAGTAATTACAATAGAGTCAGAAAAGAAAATTGTTATATATTCTAAACAACCAATTAGTGTAAATGAGGAAATTACATACGATTACAAATTCCCATTGGAAGATGAGAAAATACCTTGCTTATGTGGTGCCCAAGGCTGCCGTGGAACTCTCAATTAAGATAATGATATAAAAAAATAGTTTAACGTCTTTTTTTTTCTTACTTTCGATTTAAAGCAAAAAAATATATGTTTTTAGAACTTTTAATTTAGTTAATATTTATTGTTATATAAAAAAGAAAATTTTTAATTAATTTTTATCAAATAATAAGTAAAATATAAAAAAAAAAATGCATGTAAAAAAAAAGTACATTATTATAGAATAGTGAAGCTAAGAAAAAAAAAAAATAAAACAAAATAAAGAAAAATTTAACAAAATATTTGGAAAAAAAAATTTTATATTTAGGTTTACATACATAATAATAATAATAAATATATACCGTTGCGTAAATATTATATAATATGAAAACAAGTTAAGAAAATATATGTATATATAAATATAGTACGTATTATTAAAATTGGGGATTAATAATTGTTATGTACATTATGTAACAAATAATACAATATTATAATTAATACATATTATACATAGTAATATAAAATAATAAAACATAAAAAAACAATATTTGTACATAAAAATTAATATTTCCCAAATATTTTATGGTATTAGCAATAAGTACTTTTATAATAAGTTGTCTTTAAAATAAAAACAAAAAATAACAAAAAAAAAAAAAAAAACAAAAATTTACATTATTTTCTAAATGTTATTAAAGATTATTTTAGGAATAATAGTTATATTTACATGTAATAAAATAAATATGGCTACATCAACAAAAAAAAAAAAATAATAAAAGAATTATTCTCATATTTTTTTTTAAATTTTATTAATTTAAGTATTGTTCTTTTAGATTCCTTTATTATAGGCATTATGTGTTTATTTTTTTATCTGCTGTTTTATCACATCATTCAGATTATCGGGCATATGCTAAATGTTGTTTGTTAAACATCATAAATATGAATTTTTTTTGAAAAAAGAAAAGCTCTAATTTTTTTTTCTGTATTTCTTTGAAATTAAAAAAATATTTTCTTCTCTAATTTTATGGATAAAATATTTTACGCTAATTGTTAAAACATTTTGTTTAACATTTTTATTTGAGCTCATATTTAAAAGCGTTTGGATTTTGATTTGAAAGAATTCTCAATTTATATTTGAAAAAATTTTTACTTGAATAGCTAACTACTTGTATTTAGTAATTCAATATTAAAATGTGTTAGATTTTAATAATACGTTTAATAAAATCGTTCAAAAAAAATTTAAATGCCTTTTAAACTTAGCATTTGGAAATTATATACATAAATAAATCTTTTTGGTTAAAATTTTAAAAGAAGTTTGTCATTTTTTTTTTCAATTTATAAAATAAAGATTTATTATTATAAATTCGTATGTAATATCATAACTAATTTTTATTAAAATTAAAAGTAGAAATATGATATTTTAGAATCTAAAATTTGAACAAATAAATAAATGCATAATTAAATATAAAATTCTATAAAAACAGAAATATAATTATAATATTTTTTTAGTTAGGTTCAAATTTTTTGGTTTACTTAGATAATTCATTGAGTTGTAAAAAATTTTAAGTTTTATTATAATTTTTAATAATATAAAAGAAATTAAAAACTAGATTTTAAAATAAAATATTACAATGTTTGTTTGAAATTTAATACATGATATGATGTTAGAATATTATGTGCATTTGTAATTATTTTACATGAAACTTGGGATGAATATATAGATTATGAATCTATTGTAAACCTTAAGATATATTTGTAATAAATTAAATTCAGTTTATCTTATTTCATCATATAATTACATTGTATTATATTTATATATTAAAATAAAAGAAAAGCAATATTAGTTAACATAAATATCTTGAATTCAAATTGAGAAATTTATAATGAAATTACAATTAAATTGATATTAAGTCGATCTCTTACAAATTATTCAAAAACATAATATTATTTAAACATCACGTTTTGGATTTTGATCAAACATTGTTCTATATTAAATAAAATTCTATATTATAAAGCAATTCTTCTTTTTAATGTACATATGTATTATAATTATGATTATCTTTATGTAATATAAAAACAAACAAAAAATTAAATTTAGATAATATAAAAAATACCTACTTAATTTGTTTCCTTTTGCTTTGATTGAATTTTTCTTTAGATTTTTTTTTATAATTTTTTATTTTGATTAAATATAAATGAATTCACTTAATATCTAATCAATAAAAATTAATTATAAAAATATTTTTGCTGGCTTTAATTATTGGTAATATATTGAATATTAAACAAGGAAAATTAATAAATGGGTTCAATTTAATCAAAATACTTTATTGTTAAGGTAAAAAAAAATAAATGTCAAAATTGTTAATATTTAAATACTTTATTGAGTATTTTTAATATTACATAAATGTAATTTTAAGTTGCACATGGAGCCAATGAGTAAATGCTTACCTCTGCATACTCACATACCTGATGAATTACACATCATTTGAACTGAATTATTATTAAAACCGATTCTGAACCATATTTTATTTGGTGATCGCGGTTTTCAGAAATAGTATTTTTAGCTTTAGTAAATACGCATTCTTAATTATGCAATTTTCTTACCGTTAATACTAATAGCGCTGGAAAACGGTTATACCACTTTGATATAGCACAAATTTAAATTGTTTCGTCGTGTAAAACTTCGACCGTTTAAGCAAAACTTGCCGTGTAAATAGACATATTCTTCGTTTGCATAGGTCAAAACGAATATAAAGTAATTTTTAGTTCCAACAGGGCATTCTTCGCATTTATTTCAACTTTACATTTAAACAATTATACATTTAAACCCACTTTTTCAACCGTATGCTGCATACCGCGACCACTTCATAAAAACAGCTAATCGATCATAAAAACAACTAATAATTTATGTAAAACAATTTATGTAATAAAATGATGATGTATGAAATAAATATGCAACTTTAGAGTAGCACATCAAAATTACTTTTAATTCTATATTTTAATCTGCTGGTTGCTAAAACATACCAATTGACACCAAATTTAAGTCGTTTTTATTCAATTCATTTTGGAATGCTGTTTTAAATCCGATTTATATTTTATTGCGTGTAATTAGAAAAAAATTTGTAGCTGTCAGTCGCCTTTTTTCTTGATAATATTTTTAACTCAATAGCAACGAACCATAAACTCACCTTAAGTCAACTGTTCCAAGAAGAGCATTTTTGCTATTTTGTTAATTTTATTTTGTCGTCTGATTTGACAACTAGTTTTGACATTTCTCTTTTTTTTTTTTGAAGTTTATCATGTGGACCAAAAAGTTAATGCAAGAAGGATTAAAAAGAGTTTAATTTTATACATAAAATATCCAGAAAAGTTTATAAAGATTAAAGTCTTTTCAAAGTTAAAAGAGATTCGCTAAATTAATTTTATTATAAAATAGTTCTAGTTTATTTAACATAAAGCAAAATATGTTTGAAGAAGCGGACAATTTTGCTGACATTTTCCGTTTCGGAATCCCTTACTACTTACTAATTACTCTACCAATTTTAATATTGTGTAGCTCAGATCCTGTATTAGCAACAGATTTTTCAGTACACAGGATGTCTCAATTTGATGTTAATGGTGTTTCATATGGTAAAAATAATAGCTTTACTTTGATATACATATCTAAATATATTTAATTAGATTTAAAATTTGGAGGTTATATTTGACCTAGTTTTAACTAGGGAAATCTAAGGTACATACATATTAGATATATGTGTATGTATATGTGTAGATAGTTCTTTGGTCAAAGGGAGTTAGCAAATGCAATATTAAATATTAGAACAAATTTGTGCTAGAAATAAAAAATTTTCATAAAATCCATTTAAATTATGATTCTTCTCGTGTTTTTTTTTTCAAAATGAGAATGAATTCTAAATATGTATTTTTCTCAGGCTGCCGATCATCTGCATTGAATTTGGAAGCTAAATCATTATATACATGGTCAACATCAAGGCACTGCGTAGTAACAAGGTTCAAAGATTTATCAATTGAAAAGTTTCGGGAAATTCGAGCAAAAGCCGGAGGTTTGGTAATTCTTTTACCAAAAAATATAGAAAACTTAAATGAAGAAGAAAAAGAGGTATAATAACAAACGACTTCAAAGGATTGTACTCATATTTTAATTATATATTCTTTTAGCATTTATTCCTTCTTGAAGATGCCATGATTTCTCAAGCCTCTACTATACCCATATATTTTTCAAAATATAACGAAGAGCTGGATAGACTTATAGATGACATTACTTCTACCAATTTGAAGAACTCCAAAGGTCAAAATGTTAGGGAATCTGCCCTTGCAGAGATTATAAATTCAATATCAGCTAATGGATATCAAATAACAGTGACAGGTTGGATTGCATATCATTCAATTGTTTTACATTAGATTATATAAAAGTGAAAATATTTTACAGGTGCAAGTCATTCTGCTGATAAACATTCGAAAATTCCAATTATACAAGGCGAGTTAGCTCCTCTTATTAGTATAAAAGTTGGAGGAGATCAAGAGAATTCTAATAAATTGCCAATAATTGTTGTAGTAGCTCATTTAAAGACTTTTGGATTGTATAATGTAAAAAGTTCATATCCATGTATATAAGTATATAAAAAATAAGAATTATTATTTTTAGGAATACCCAGAAAATAGTGATGTAGCAATTGTATTATCTTTAGCAGATTTATTTAGTAAATTACATAACAGTGTTACGGCAGCTCCAAAATATCGTCTTATGTTTTTGATCTCAGAATCCGGAGCTCTGTTAAACTTCCAAGGAACCAAAAAATGGTTAGATGAAAATACACAAACTCAGGTAATATAAATATTATTTAAAAAAAAAGGAACTAAAAGCTATCACCCTTATAGGTGATATGCAATAATATTTTTATACATATCATGCATTTCTAGATCAGATCAATTTTTAAAATCTCTTGTACCTTTTGTTTCAATATCTATTATGATAGGCTTTTTAGTTTTATATAATACCAGAAATTTTAATGACCTCTAAAATTTTAGAATATTGATTTCGTGCTATGTTTGGATACGATAAATCAACCGCTTTCAACGAAAACTAATGCTATATACATGCATGTGTCAAAACCGCCTAAGGACAACACGCCAGTGAGCAATTTCTTTAAACATTTAAAGCAATCGTGTATAACATACGACAATGTTACCGCAGAAGGTGTACATAAAAAAATTAATTTGGCTGATAATCAGTTGGCCTGGGAACATGAACGTTTCAGTATGAAGCGATTGCCAGCATTTACATTATCTAGTTTAAATTCTCATAAAGATATTTCAAAAGTTACAAGCTTTAAATATAATAATGATGTTGTTCTTCGAAATGCTGAACAAAACGTTAAAATATTAGCAGAAGCTCTTGCAAAATATGTTTATAAAATAGAAGAAAATGGAGAAATATTTTCAGGTGTAGTTGTAAGTTTTCATTTAAGAATTACATAAATATATACATTTAACATAAATTTTAAAATTTATAATTTAAAGAATATCGATAAAGATTTGATAAAGCCATGGTTACAAGTAAAATCAATTTTACATAATAATGATCTTAAGAACGGTTTTGAGAAATATCTAAAGAATGTCAAAATAATTTATGAAAAACCTGATACACGAGAGCCAGATTTTATGCTATATGATGGTCAAGAAGCTGTTTTAAATTTTTATAGGTAATATTAAATATAAATATATACAAATTCATTTATGGCATCTAAAATTTCATTTTTTTTCTTATTTAATTTTAGAATAAAACCAGCAGTTTTTGATTTATTTTTAACTGTTATCATAGCCATTTATTTAACTGGAATATACTTTGCTATTCAATATTTTCCAAAGTTATATGTTTCAGTGTGTCAAATGAGCAAAATGGAGAAAGTTAAATCAATTTAAAAAAAATGAAAACGTATACCTCATTAAAGAAATCATGTGAAAGTTTTAACTCATTATTTAAGTGTTTATTTGAGAATTAATTTTTAGTAAAGTTGTTTGTTATAAAATTATATTAAAATTTAGGAAAGAAAAATATTTTCAAGGTGAAAAATTAAAAGAACAATAAAATAATGTTTGGTATTGGAAAAAAATTATTTAAAATACATATTATATTATAATTTGTTTTTGAGATCTAAAGCCTGGTTTTTTATGTTCCTACCAAAATTAAATAAACTAATATTGAATTATAGTTGTAAAATTACAATTTATTTGATCAAAAAAGGTATTTTAGAATTTCAAAATTTTGTATATTTTATTAAGTAAAATTTATGTTTAAAATATTTATGTATATAATATGTAATATTTAATTGAAATTATTGCCGAATGTAAATGAACTGTAATAAAGCAATAAAAATAACTTAGAAAAATATTAAAATCTAGTTATTCTTCTTTGGTTCCTTCTAAAAACAAATAGGATGCACTTAAAAGTTTTCAGAAAACCAAGGAAATTATTTAAAAACGGGTCCACTTTTTTGGAACAACAATTAATGTAATTGTTGTTCCGATGTAAGAACTATTAATGTAATGCTATTAAAGTTATCGATGGCTCGATCACTAATGATGTTGATTACAAAACTTATATTACGCTTTAATATTTTCGGAAGCAGAAATAATTATTATGTATAACTACTTTCCCCATATATTTATAACAATCAAAATTCTTAATATGCATTCTATAGCAAAAGGTTATATATTAAGTTTAATAACGTTTAATATAAAGTTATCAATGACGCTATAAAATCTAATAAATTTTAAATAAAATATATGTAAATCCATAAGTATTTGCATATTTTTATCTTTCTAGTTATTCATGTAAACTGTGGTTATGTAAAAATTAATAACAAATTTTTAAAATCCAAAAATTTTTAAAATTCAAAAACTTTTAAATTCCAAACAAATGAAAATATTTTACAATTCTTTAATAACCTTGTTGTATATTTTGGTAATAAATTAGTAATAAATAATAGGGTTATTAAAATAATGTAAATTATAATGAAAGTTATATATTAGAGTGAAATATGAATTATTACATATAACCTGAACTACACAATTGAAAACTACATATTTATTATTGTAAATAATTATATATTTTATTTGCAGCAAGTAAAATATGCAAATATATACATAATATATAATATACTGTATTAACTATACTTATGTACCTATATAATTTTAAAATAAAAAGGAAAGGTGAGTAAGGAATGGTATTTTTGCTTGCTTCAAAAATTAAATACAGTTGAATCCTGGAAAATTGGAATTAATAAGAACTGAAATATTTCTTTTATTTATATTAGTTTTTTCTTAACCAATATCATTTTCAAGCATAATTCAATAAAATAGAATTATTTATAAATGTATTCATTTATGGATCATGAATATAATTCTTCCTTATGAAAGTAAATTTTGTTTCTTGACTCATATTTTATAATTAAACAGTATAAATTTAAACTATCATTTAGTTCCAGAATGCAAAGTACCACAGCTTTTGTTCAATCTATCTAAGACAGAAATATTATAGTTAAATTTACTTAATCATGTTAAATATAATTTCTGAATTATATTTAACTAATTTATTATTATCTACAAAAATTCAGGGTGTTGATGTTGTTTGAATATTCATTTCCAGAAATGCCCTGTTTTTTAATTCTATAAATTTAATAAAACTTTGTATTTCTTTGTTCATTCACTTTGTATTTTCATAACTACTATTCAGAACTAAAACATTCTTTCTAAGGCAGTATAATAGCCTATTGATGTCAAAATAATTTACAGCTTTTAATTGTTTTATAATAAAAACGATTGAAAAATTTTAACTTTGCACACACATTATTTTCATAATATTTTTTATGATTATTATGATGGGGACACAATATGTATATAATACGAGTATGTACATATTATTATTATAAAAGTTTTTATTGAATTCCCAATATATGTACATAACATGTGATGTGGAAAGCATTCAAGTAAGTAAGTAAGTAGTATTAGAGGCACTTTTATAATATGTTTGGCATATGTACATACATATGTACATATATGCACATCAGCTCGTATATAGGAAAATAGTTTAAAAGAGGAAAAGAATTTCAAGCATTTATGCTGTCAGTTCCTATTATACGTTTTGCTAATCTACGTGAATATTCATTAAAAGGATATTATGAACACTATACACGTTTATACATACATATATCTAGAGTAGGTATAAAATATGAAAAAAATAAGGATATAAATAATTTTTCTTCGTTTTATTTGTTACTGAATAAAAAAAAAATTTTTCTCTAAAAAATTTTTCCTTTTAAAAAAGTAAAATTTTCTCTTCATGCTTCAATGCTGAAATTTTTTTTCTTTGTTTTTTTTTTTTCATAAATTATTTTCAATGTTAAAGTGTGTTGGCGACATTCGAAAAAAAAATTTACATTCCGTTTAAAAAAATAAGCAAAAATTTGGAAACAATAAAGACGGAATATCAAAAGGAAAATCTCAGACTTTTTGGAATTTTTGAAAAAGAATAAAAATAAAATTGAGAAATTATTATTTTTCGAAAGTAATTTGCAAAAAAAAAAAAAAGACCAATTCAATATTTTTTTATTCATTTTTTGGATTTTTTAATAGAAAAAAGAAAAAAAATTTAGAACATTAAAGAATTATCACATTTGTATGTAGGAAAATAAATTTTTAATTAAAAAATTAAAAAAGATTTTTATTTGCTTTTTATTTATGTACCGTTTATGCTTTTATACACTGTCTTAGTTTTGCTTTTCTCTTTATTTTTACAAAAGTAGGCAGTACAAGCTTTTATATTCTAAAAAAAAAATTATCAATTTTTTAAAAAATAATAAGCCCATTCATTGTAATTTTAATAAATGTTGTCTCCTTATAGAAAAAACTTAACTTTCACAACCAAATTTACAAGGATTCAGTGAATGAAATCATTTTTCAATAATGGTACGTGCTTTTTTAAATAGAAATAAAATGAAGCAAGGCATTTACAAATGCATAAAAAAATTTCCGAAATTTATCAAATTTTTAATTTTTATGTGTGTAAGGTCGAATCTGGAATCTAGATTCAAGCTGAATCCATATTAATAATTATTTTCTTACGGGGTGGAATTCTAATTTTGTACTCTTCATTTTTGTACATTTGTAGCCTTCATACAAGTCTTTAAGTGAAATTTTTATTAGAAAAACAATAATTTTATTAATTTGTTCCTTTTTTAAAAGAGAACAAAAATCACATTACTTTATTTGTGCCATAAAAATCTGCATTATTATAACCGATGTTCGGTATGAACAGTGCATAGAAATCACTTTGATGCTACTCGTAATGCTAAAAGGAACGTTAGAATTCGGAATATCATTGGAATAAATTGTATATAATGTGTAGGTGACGTTATAATTCTTAACTATTTTTGATGATATCTCATCATTTTCTTAAGGTGTGTATTAAAACTGGTTTTAATTAAAATAAGTTCCCTTAATCTATAGTGACGAAAATTCGAAGATCCGAAAACGACAATAACATTTTTGGTTTTTTTTATTTAAGTAATTCTATATTATATTAAATTGTATTCTTAACAGCTTGTTCCTAATTTTTAATATTACAACATTTTACAAAATTATTCTTATACTTGTGGATGCACATCATAGCCATATGTATACCTATATATTTCTTCACATTTTCTTATTCATTTTGTGGCTTTGACATTTTTGTTTATTACTATTTTTCATGTGTAATCGTGCGTTCATTCTAAAATATTTTTAATGTAAAAGAAAAAAGAAGAAAACAAAGAATAGCAAATTTTCTAAAAGAAAAACTTTATAGGAAAAAGAGCATACATAGTTCATATACTTACATACATATATATTTGTCTATGTTTACATGTATGTAAGTATATTTTTCTTTTCCTCCTTGTTGTACAATGTTTGAATGCAAATGTACATTATGTTCGTATATGCCGGATCTAAGAGGGATTCTTAACATACTGTATAAAAAAAACTCAAAAAAAAAAAAAAAAAACACAAAAAAGGAAAGGTAGGCAGGACTGAGTGTTTTTGACACTTGAGTCTATATGAAATTTTTTGAAAAAAAAATTTGAGTCTATTGCGGTATATAAAGCACATAGTTTATATACACTTTTTACATATGTATATACTTATATGTATAACGTTTACATACGTATGTATATATCATATATAGTAGAAGTTACTTCATTTGTAAATTTCGGAGTCAAAAATTTTTTTATCAATAATTGTTAATGTGCATATTTTAAAACTGACCACTCAAGATGAAAATTGTTATGTATAAATTGAAAAATAGTATTTGTATTAAATTTTTAATAAATCTTTTAGAAATTTTAAAAAAATAATGTTCCGATTTTTGTAACAAGCTCTTACAATTCCATGTTGAGGCTTGCAATTCCATACGAGTATTATATTAAACACCATGCATATTTTAAAGCATCTATGTAATTCGATGAATATCAAGAATTTTCTTTCATATTTTTTGATAAATTATGCATCTTGTCTTCGAAATCTGAGTTCAAACCAAAATTATTTTAAAAAAAAATTTCAGCTCAGCTTGACTGTCAGATTTAAATGATTGGTTTATTTTGAATGTGATCAAAGTCCATTTCAAATTAAAATGAATTATCGCTCAGTTTGGGTTTAAAGCATGGATGTCAAAAGTGCGGCACGTGGGCCGCATGCGGCCATTTTCTTATTTTGGTGCGGCCCTCTAAAACGAATTGTTAAAATATTATTATGGTTTAAACTGTTTTGATTTTGCCAATTCTACGATTGGCTACTACAAATATGCAACCCAATATTTTAAGACTTGTTCAACAGAAGCAGTGTCACTCAGCTCCCAGTACTTCTAATAAAAAATAAATAAACGTTTACACACCTTAAAAATTGAATTAATTGTTTTATTTTGTGGCCCTTTTGTCATACAGAATATTGGAAATTGGCCCATAGTTTCAAAAGTCTTGACATCCATGGTTTAAAGTATAACACAAAATTTACTAGTTAGTTAACTAGTTATTTGCTTTACAGTATTTTTATTTTTCTTATCCAAGAATATAAGTTTTAATTCCAACAATTAAAATTATTCTTGCTTTGAAAAAAAAAAGATTATATATTATGTATATAAAGTCGTATCCGAACAAACTTTACGAGATTTCAAATGAAATTAAAATGAAACTTGAACATTTTGTCTGCAATCGTCTTGTATACATACCATGAAATTATCCGGACAATACGAGATTTCTGCATTATAAAATCAGA